TCCACATCATATAAGTAATAGTTACTCAGAGAAGAGGATAAAATACCCCAGGAGAAGGATATAGAGTAAAAAGAGGGCTAAACATCCTTATTTAAGGAATAGGCATGAGAAAAAAAGTCTGAAAATGAGATAGAAAAAGACCAAGGTAAGAGGCAGGAGTACAGAGAAGAGTAATGTCCTGAGATCAATCAAGGGGAAAAGAAGAGAGAGGGAAGATGAGAAGCCACTGTCAACTGTTTCAGAAGATGGAGTCTGGGATGAGACTAATGGCTTGAGCATATAGAGGCTCACTGATGACCCGTGAGAAAGAAGGTTTACTCAGATGAAGAGTCTGAGGGCCTGATCTCAGTGGGTTGAGGATCAAATGTGAGACCGTTCTGTCGAGGGAGGGGAATATGGATGTCTCCTCAAAGAATCTGGAGGTCCATATGCTGAGAGATTATCCCTGGATGATGACCCTGCAGGGGATTGTCTTTTTTGATATATTTTTGTATGTGCCAATATTCTAAGAAGAATATGCATTATTTTAATAATGAGAACAAAACAAAGAAATAAAGTGAAAAGGAAACCAATTTATAGAAGAATGTGGTGCCATGGGGTCCTCAGCTTTGAGAAACAGAATGGTGAGTGGATTGATTCCTGAGTTGGGCTCCTGTGCCAATTCTTCCAAGGATCAGCTACATGACCCTAAGAATAACATTTAAAACTTCTCTCTGGGCCTCAGCTTCCTTACTTATAAATAAAGGAGCTGGGCTGGAAAACCACTAGGATGGTTTCTAGATGCAGAGGTCTAGAATCTAGCTTGTGATATGAGAATAAGCTCTCAAATATATTAGAGAACACTGATACTTAAGAAAACCCTATAAAGAATTATGTAAAGAATTATTTATAATGCAAATAATCACTCCAGTTTGTACGTTTTATAATTTCTGATCTTGTTTATGTGTTTTCTTAAAGTGAGGAACACCTGTATCGATTATATCTTTTTGTGTTCTTTTCGTTACACTTTCTGTTTTAAAAATAAAATTCAGTTCCTACCACAGAGTCTCCTCTGTGCACCAATCAAGACAGAGAATAGTATTTTGTGGGTAAGGCTTGAAGGCTGCAGTTGCCAAGACTAAATATTTACTGCTTCCTTTAGAGTGCCCAAGGACGTAAAGTTTTTATTGAGCAATTATCACAGGCACTGAGGAATAAAACCATGAGGCTCTATTTCACATCCATACTCTCTTACATGTGATAAGTGGTCTGCTATGAACATTTTTTAGTTACGTCTGTCTCAGGCGCTTTTAGGCAAGGTACAGCAATGTAAATTAGTGGCCAAAAGCCCAGGCAGTGAAAAACATTAGACTAGACCTAAAAAAAATTAGGAGCCAAGAAGTAGGTTAGAAATAAAAATCCTAGGATATTAAAGTTCTAAAGTACCTTAAAGGTTACCTGGGACACCGTCTTGCTGGAAGTGGGTGCCCTTCTGCCAGTGGGTAGCCCACTTGTTCTTGGATATCTCTGGGGAAACACCCACAATTCCACGAGACACCCACAATTCCATGAGACAGCTATTTGCTGACAAGCTCCAGTTAGATATTGGAAAGTTCTTCTGCGTATTTGTCTGAAATCTGCCTTCCTGACATCCACCCCTTACCCCAATTCTGTCCTCAATATGATACCACTTCAGATCATTATCCTATGGCTCACTGCTGGAATGTCTGTTGTCCTGGGGAAATTCATAGCCGAGTAAAAATATTACAGCCTATACTGCAAATTTATCTTTCCTTTCCTAATTACTTTCAGGAAGGATGAGATCTGAGCTGTTCATTTATCATGTATATAATGAAGTTAATTTGAATCTTTGTTAAAAACTTTAACTTAAATTTGGCACAAAATGTTTTGTTCTGTATAACAGCAGATTCTTTGACTGGAGTATGATACAAACTCTGAACTAGCCACCATTTAACCAAATTGTTGAACTAATCAATGTTCTCTCGCTCTCTGAAAAACATTCTAGCTAATGCCCAAAGCAGGTAGAATGCTCACAGCCAGTAGGCTGTTCTTGGGTGGGCCCACACACTTCTGTTCTTACATGTTGAGTAGTATGCCGACCAAGACTCAGCTATGCTTATTCTCTAACATTCTGTGCCAGTGTATTGATTATTGTAATTACATAATTAAATACTATATAAACCAATAAAATATGAATGTAAATAGAATTGTTTCTAGAACAAGTTAAAGCTTTATAGAGACTAAAATTAATTCAGTAAAAAGAATGTTATCAAATTAGGTGTGGATAAGACAACTGTAGAAAATTGAGAAAAACTGTAAAAATCTAGAGGCATTCTGCACTCATTTACTTCGCAAAGGCTTTTAAATTCTTACTCCCTTTAAAGTGGGCAGCATAGATAATGCATAATAGATATGGTTTATGCTAGACAAGCCAGGCAGAAGTCTAAGAGTGAACTTCTACTCAAAGACAGACTTTGGCCCTTCTTCAAAGACTGGTGAACAAATGTACATTTATATTCTTTAATTCTATTTTTTTTATTTCTAGCTTTAATTACCTTTTTTAAACAACTGATTAATTATTGGCTCTGATGACGTCAGAGAGAAGACTCCTGCTGAAGTTTATAGCTGACCTGTCTCTCAGAATACTGACAGAGGATTGCTAAGATGAAGACGTCTTCATAGACAATCTTAAGACTCCATATAATCAGCCAAAGTTTGCCAAGAACCACACTAATTGAGATATGGTAGAAGTCAAGAGTTGCAGGAACTATACAAATTAATAAGCTTCACCGGTTACTGTTTAGTCATAGACCAATAAAACAATTGGGTATGTAGAGTATTTAGCAGAAGCCAGAGAACTATGGGGAAAATATGCAAGAAACCCAGAAATTAAAGGATTATATATAATGTTAAGAGGAAGGAGAAACTATGTATTCATTGGTAGACAAGCTTCATGAAGCTGAGTATTCAAAATGATGTTCTTTGAAAAAGCAGAAGGAGAACTCTGACCGGAAGAACTTTTCAGAAAGAGAGTCAAGGAGAGAGCAAGGAGACTAAGGGAGATAAATGGCAAAGCAAGTGTTGGGGACTTGGTTACAGAAAAGCCTAAAAAATGGGAGATGAGGAACCAAGCTTGCAAAGAGTCACTGTAAAGTTTTAAGAAGCAGTTTACAGTGAGCTAGTCCAGTTCACCAAAAAAGGGTTCAGATGGTCTCATGATCCTGTTAAGGCATTATTAATTTCTAAAAAAAAAATGGGCAAACTTTAGGATCCCAGATATGTACCCTAATTGAAGCTACGTGAACTGAATGAACCATTTCTTGACATTACCAAACATTCTAGCAAAAATATATTTGTAGTTAAAAGGTCCACTATTTCAGGAGGGATCATAAAAGGATGAGAAATAGATCTCTCTTATGTGTTTGGATTATTGCTTACTATTTTAATACTTTATTTAGTACTTTGCCACAAACAAACGGCTTTTACATATAGGATTTTTTTTAAAAACGATAAAAATCTGAGGTAAATATAATCTTTCTATTTTACAGGTGAGAAAATCAAAACTCATAGGTGTTGAATGTCTAAGCCCAAGCTTACACAGCTGGAAAGTGGTTAGCAGACCAGAACCCTGGTCCTTCCAATTTTAAGTCTTACAAAAGTTTGGAAAATAAAGGAAAAAAGTAAAATTTCCATTAATTCCAATAATTATCTTTTTATGTATTCTCGCCTTCCCTCCCTCCACAGATTATGATCATTGGAATATCTTGTTTTTTCACTTAATATTGTATTATATGTGTTTATCACGACTACTTAATCTTCATATAGATCACTTAATGACTATACAATATTACGATATGTCAATTATTTCAGTCAAAATAATGCTATGGGTGAGTTGCTACTCTACAGAACTAAGACAAATAAGAAAATGACAGTTACTTAACCAGTCGTCATTTTGTTTTTGCTATTATTTTGCTATTAGAGGTAGAACTAAGATGAAAAGTCTATGCTCTATGGCTCATGTGTTGCAGTGGAAGTCACTTGAATGAAGAGCAATCCCTCCCTCCAGTAATAATCCGTCTCCTCTCCTTCACAATGTGTTTGAGTTACTGCCTGTACATTTAATTCTGCACCCTCACCCTTCTATAATTGAGAAATAATTGAGAAGCAAAACGTGCTTGGATGAAAATATTTTTATATTTTATTCCCCATTACTTGCAAAGATAGTTATTTTACACAGAACAAGCATACCCTATTGAGGAATAGTGAAAGCTATCTTAGAAGCATGGATAAAATCAACAGAGATTGAGCAAGAAAATAAAATAGCTATGTTTCATTTTATTTGGCTCTCAAAGGACCATTTAGTCTTTTGCTTTCCTTAAAATACAACCAAGCTATATGGCACAAACTAAAAGAGTGATCTGGAAGTTGATTAATTTATCTGGAAAAGCATCAGCTCTCCATTTCAATTCGTGCCATCATGACACAGCCTAAATCAAATTTTAAATGAATGCAAACACAGCCACTCCCCAGGCCAAATTCTGGAAAAACACCTTCAGAATTCCAAGTGGAAGTCTTTGTAGATCCTGAGAGGCCTATATGTTGCTTTTAATTTAGAGAAGTGTCAAAATACGTTTCTCCGAGGGCCAAGAAAGAAGGGTTATGCAACTGAACGAGATGACGCCATACTAAACCCCAAGTGCCGATGGCTCTCTGAGTTTTAAGCAGTTCCCAACAAATGTTCTCATCCTTTTGGATCCTTTACCCTACTCATGGCATCTCTGGGTTGGAAAGCACATTAGAGGCCATCTAGCCCAAACAGTCATCACCCACATCCTAATTCTACTGATAAGGCAGGCTTGGAAAGAGCATGCAAGCTTCCAGAGACGGCATTGTGCCAGAACATTTGATTCTTATCTCACTCCCACAGTGTTTGGCCCAAACCTGTGTAGACAGAGGTCCTGAGAGGAGCCTTCAGCCCCTACACTTTACCTGTGACTTACCTGTGGAGGCCCGAGAGCGGCACTGCCCAGTCATGGGGCTGTACTCCTGGTTTTCATCAGCGCACACACACAGGAAGGACCCTTCTACGTTTTCACAGAAGGCTTCACCACACACACCACTGAGCAGTTCACATTCGTTCACATCTGGAAAAGGGAGCACAGATCAAGTCAGACGTGTGTCTTACTCCTGATAGCTCTTTATTTTACCAGGTGTGCCAAGGCTAGCAGTGTCTGCTGGAAGCAAGGTGATCCCCAGGGAGCCATCACACCCCTTCTGCTATTTTGGGGAAGGGGTTCCTAAAGGCAGGGCTGTACACTTTGGTTTGTATGCAAGGACCCTGGAAACACAAAACGAAGGTTCCAAATTCCAATTCCAGCTTTAAGAAACACCCCGGAATTGTATTGCAAGTGTCGTATGTATGCTTCAACCATTTATTTTTGTCTCCCCTCACTTTTCGACATATTGAGTTCTTAACCCAACACGCTACTTTCTGTTCTTAATTCAAGGAAAATTAGCAGCACCGGCACTTCAGAAACCACAGACTTCTTTAAATTTAATTAAAAAATTGTTTTATATCTACTCAAATGTCTGAAAATACATTTCTCTAGCAGCCAAAATGTCCATAATTTAACAACCAGAATTCAGGTTGTGTATCCCTTTGAGAAATGAAGGAAAGACCCCTATAAATATTCACTGGGCAACATTAATCATTCATGTGAAACAAACTGGTCCAATAACTTGTCACTGATTTCACTATGCCTTTTAAATTCTGTTGGTGTTCCACAGTGTAATTTCTATTCTGCTAAATATTTTTCTTCCCTACTTAAATATACTTAAGTAAAACACAATCAAGGAAATTACTGATGAGTATGTTTTATTCAACAGTATGCAAGTACATAGCCGTAAAGAAAGGCTAATGTTTGACCTAAGGTTTATGTTTGACCTTGCCCCATGCTACCTTTTACCTTTACTCCTCCTAAGAAGTTTTATTAATGAGTGCCCAGTTCAGCAAAGTACCTGACTTGACATCTGAAATGCTCATGCATTTTATGCATTAAACGTGTACAAACATCAGCATTCATGAGCCCATTCTGAGATGGTTTACACAAAGTTAAAAATTTGAGCAATTATCCAACTCATTTAGGAAAAAAATCCCATTTTCACCAGCTATTCCCAGTTAATTGGACAAAAAGTTTATGTATCTTGACTTATTTGGATAATTACCTCAGTTTTCCACTTCACTTTGCATATAAACAGATACAAACCCAACGAGCTGAGTTTCACTTACAAAAAGATATTGTAAAACAAAGTAAAGCAGAGAGTTGGTATATTTAATCAACCTAGACAGTCATAATTTAGACCAGAAAAATTGACTTTAGAAATTTGCCAGTTCACATTTATCAATTTTAGGTAAATGTCAAATGGAACTTTCTACTTTCCAACTTGTATTATTTACATGGCTATTGAAATCTCTCCACCAGACTGCATTCATTCGATCAAAAAATATTTTCTAGTTGACTTCTGTGGGCCAGGCACTGGGGAAACAATGATGAGTCAGGCAGGCTCAACTCCTGCCCTCACGGAGCTCAGCGTCAAGTCAGGGAAATTAATCAGATAATCTTACAGGCTGTGATAAGTGCTAGGAACAAAAAGTACCAAGCATGAAAGCACAGAACAGTGGACCCTAAGTGCAAGGGTGGGTTAGGAAACGATATTGGAGTCAAGCCCTATCTGCAGGATGAGTACGTGATAAGAAGTGACAGAGGTGGTGGAGGCGG